ACGCCTACAGTCGAAAAAATAAAATGTAGGCGTAATTTCCGTGCGCCCACATATGTAGACGCTTCAAATTGACGCCTAAATTTCATTTTTTCGACTGTAGGCGTATACAAATGACGCCTACATTGGTTTTCCAGCCTGTAGGCGTCATTTGAAAAGGGATAAAGCGCCTACAGGCTGTATGTAGGCGCTTTTTCGTGGGAAAAAGGCATGTAGGCGCTGTTTTGGCAGCGCCTACATGGATTTTGTGTGGGCTGCAAATAGCAACGGCCCTTTTATTTTTGCACTGACATTTTTACACAGAGAGAGGCGGTGTAAAATATGTCAGTGCAAAAATCTTGTACCCGGGGGAATATTTAATTTTGCACCGAAGAGTTTTACACAGAGTGACTTTTGCACCGAGAGGGTTTACACAGACACTGTCTGTGTAAAAAAATTCAGTGTAAAAGTATCAAACAATATGTGCAAAATCGAATTTTGCACCGTCGACATTTTACACAAGAAAATCAATTTTTACACATAAAACCAACATTCGCGCTGTAAGTACTATAGACAAAATAGAAGGAATTAAAGAAAGTTAGAGGGGGAAGAAAGAAATGAGACTTGAAGCAAAACAACCAGTAAAGAGTGCATGGGGCAAGAAAGAAAAATATCTGAAGATGAGTGAAGAGAAACAAAATGTAATAAGAAAGAAGATGAGAAGAAAGAGAAACAAAAAGTAATAAGAAGAAATGATATGAATGAAAAGATGATAAGGACTATTTATCCCAGAGAAAAAAAAAGTGATGAAATATAATGAATGAAGAGCTATTTACCCTTAGCCTTCTTTGATGTTGCACGTTTTGCTGCTGCTGCCTTGCGTTTTTCGGCTGCACACTTGCGCTTTTCTTCAGCGGCTGTTGAAACAACAATGTCAGAAAGAATGTATATCAAGGTAATGAATGAATGATCACACGATTTAAGACTTACAAGGTTTAAGCGTGATCTCATCATCAGCAGCCTTCTGTTTCTCGGTAGCAGCTTTGCGTTTGTTTGACTTTCCAGGTTTAACAGTTGTAACATCTTTACTTGGTGACATCGGTATCTTAAATTTAATCTTGATGGGAGGATTACCTTGGTTGCCAACAATTTCAGAATCCGATACCTCAAGACCATTTGGAGATTGAATATCTTCAGTATCACTTTCCTTTTCTTTGAGAGCAGGCAGGCCACCACCAAATGGCATTTCCTCGCTAGGCATTGAAAAAGATATCTTGTGATGTTGGCCTGGAAACTTCTTCATTAGGCCAAGAATCGAAGATTCGATGTGAGACCTTTCGTGATCGAAAGGCATCCGTGAGTAGCATACCCAGGAGGTGTGATGGTTGCACCCAGCCAAGAGCGTCACATCTCGCTCGATTAGTTGTGCAAAACCACCATTTCTGAGCTCGTCATAAAGCCAAACTCCCATTATACCCTCTACTGAACGCGCCACTTTACACCAATAATGTGCACCTGCCCAAAATCCCCGGGTAACTATGTGATATTCCACTTCGCCAATTGAAAATTTTGCTGGCCAATCGGTATGATCCATGAAATTGCTACGCTCTGCCGCATCTAATTCTACAACTCCATCTAAATGAAAATATAAGTGGAGAGGCGCCACTGTAGCGTCTGTGAGATCCAGTTTGATATACTTATACATCATACCAACCTCCTCGCCTGGTTTGGGTTGTGGCCCGTCTATTGGATGACATTGGTGACAAATACGGCCGGTTTGATAAAGGAGACCGTCGGTGGACCATCTGGCTAACAATAGGGCGGTGTCTTCATATCCAAGTGCAGCATCTCTAAACAATGAGGTGGGTACATGTAGAGCCGTCCTAGAATCGTTAGTGACTCTCGCAAGATGTTCATTGTCATGACTACATACTTCCCTCTTGATAACTGGAATCGAAAAGAGAGGAGCAAGGGATGGTCTGGAGGGTGTGTGATCCTGGAATAGCCGGTGCATAAACCCGTCAGCAGAGGCATGTTGATCTAATTTGAATGCTGCTTTGGCAAAATCGTCCATCTCTAGGATTGCTTGATGCAAAAGAGTCTGACCTCGTGATAGGACATATCTGATACTTTGTTGATTGAGTTCCGCGTCGCAACGCTTGGTGAAATGTCGCATTAATACCGCAAATAAGTTGGAACCGTTGACTGTTGAAAATTGACCCCATAAAGGGCCAAACATAGCATAAAGGCATTCAAGAGTTGACGATTGCCAGCATCGGTTTGTGGTACCTTTAGTAACACCTTTCGTATAAGACTGATAAGTTGTTAATGAATGTCGAATGATATTTTGAGATCCCTTTGGTCGACCAGGTCCTTGATGGGGTTTACTGACTTTTCTTCTTTTCGAACCAGTTTTAGCATCGTCAAGGAGTTCCTCTGTCGTATCGGGTGCACGCCCGTCGTTGGGTTGGTATTTGCGTTTGGTTGGTCTGGCCATACCCATCGTTTCAACGACATCTTCCCAATTTTTGTTAGACGTGCCGTAAGCAATTGAAACACCCTTTCTCCCCGCCCGATAATCTCGCTCAAGACTTTGAGACAAGGCTAACAACTGAACCATACCTTCAATGAATCCACATTTTCCCTCACTGTATCAAAAGTTGGAATTATAATTAATAGAAATCATCGAATTGAATAGATATGAAGATATGAGTATATACCAGAGCATATAATATACGCGGTGCATTGACTCCTGCGCGTTCGTAGTCGCTGGTAGATCATCTCTACGTCGGGGTTTCCTCTTCTTGCCACGCTTTCCTTTAGATTGAGAGTCCTTCGCATCATCTTCTTCTCCATCCAAGGGAGGATCATCGAGTTCCATACGTTTCCGAGCGGGGAAAAGCATAGCTTGAGTGTCGGCCGGTGACCACCAGTGAATCCATCTCTTCGCATTTGGAAAAAGCCGGCTCAACTCATCAAATCTTGAGTCGAGGTCTTTACCAGGTTCATCTGGTAAAAGCAATGCTTTACATTTAGATACCCAAAGTCCCTAAACATAACAAAACATCTTCATTAGTATTAGTATGATTAAGAAACGTTTGGAAAGGGAATGGAAGTAACCTGTAAATGTGGCTTGACTATCGAGCTATTCTTCTTCATCCGAGTTATTGACTGAGCAAAATGTTGCTCGCAACCGTGTAGCTTAGACAGCGCAATATTGCGATCGTAGACGTTGAAGACTTCCATATAAGCGTCTATGAAGCCCACTTTTTGAGCTTGTGAAAAGTCGACTACTTGTTCACATAAAAGTCCCTTGTCTTTCTCAGATAGTGAAGATCGTTGAATTTGTCGTAATAATGTGATAAAATGGGACTTGTAGTGACTGCTGCTAAGTTCGTGGAGCCAAGTAAGCAGGACAGGAACCCATCTTTCGATTCTGTCGTTGTACATCGATGTCGTCAATAGGTAGCCGTTTTCGAAAAATCGATAGGTCACGTCGGAGAGAAGGCCCCCAGTGTAAGGTTCTGGTTTCTTTTTATCTTGATAAACCAGAACCTCTGCCATCCACTCGGTCTGCAAAGACAAGTGAGTGTCTTCGGGCATGAGGGAAACTGACACTATCCGCATGCCCTGCCTAGGAAAACTCGGTATCAGTTCACAAGTATAAATCTCACAACTATAAATGAAAGTATTAACGAAGAGAAGCCTTACCTTGCCCAATGTATAATAGATAAAAGCCATTTATCCCCCCCTTCTGGGTCCTTCTTATCGTTCATCAAACCATTGCTTACTAGGACATCTCGACGCAAGTATCCTAGACGGTCGGTGTGTCCAAATGAGGGATGTATATCTGCAACTGACTCGATGGGTTCTGTCCCAGTGTGTGCATGGCCCACCTGATGCCAAGGGTTAATATGTGATTAATATTATTTGAGGATATTTGGAAAAAAATAGAGCGTACCTTTAAAGCCAAAGGTCCTTTCTTGGGCTCACGAAGAATTCGTTCTTTTAGCTTATCTTTGGACAGAGGGTCCGCTTTCTTCGAGTCTGGCCATGCATGTTGGTGAATGCCTTGATGGCGCAAGATAGACCAAGTAGCAGTAGACTCAGGGTCGTCCGGATCAACTTCTGTATCGACTCGACATCGGGCGTGACATTCAATGTGTACCTGATATCCATCGCATCCAGATATAGAGCATGGCCTGTTTGCATAGAGAGATTAAATTAGAATGAACTCTATTAATGAATAATAGAGCTTACTTACTTATCTACGGTTTCAGCGAGCTTTTTGGGGTTGGTGGGCGGGGGTGCTTGAAGTTCGCAGTCAGAATTGGAGCATTTGATAACTCCAATACAGTAGTACCGTCGTATGATCCACTTCTCATTAGCGGATGGCTCGGTTCGCATGGTATGAGACCATCCGATATGGCGAAAATTGGTGATTTGATCTTCAGGCTGCTTGACAAATACGGTTTGTCCATTGGGATAAAGGGGAAAGCTTTGTTCATCAAGGATGCAACCATGGTCGATGAAGGTGACATATTGCGATTTATCAACAGGTAAACGGAGTTGTGGTTGTGACTGGAATGGAACCTCCGATTCTTTGACTATCGGACTGGACACATTGCTTCCGCCATGCTCAGATTGAGACCTTTCTGAGTGTGAGTTGAGCAATTGCCCTGCTGAGTATGAATCAGACATTGGAAGAGAAATTGATTGAAAGAACTATAATAAGACGATGAAAAATGATTAATGTTGATTGAGACGATGTAATACCTCGAGTAAATGAAGGAATAGGTATTGAAGTGTTATCGTTCGAGATAATCTCGTTCAAAACTTGTTCTGGAGTGTTTCCAGCGGCGCATGATGGGCCATGACCCATTCTAGCATGTGAGGAGGGTCTGGCAGCTCGGTAAGGTTTCTTTGAGGTTTGATCGAGTTCGGATGAAGGTTTAATCTTCAATATTTTTGTTCGATTTTGTCCATTCCTCCACTTGGATATGTGGGAAAGGTTTTTGGATCAGGTAAATCATCTGATCCAATGGCATACGATCAGGTAAAAACATCTGGTCGTATCCCCCTTTGGCCAAAGTTGTGTACACCAATATATATATTGGGATATGTATTGGTTGGTGTGGTTTGTGTATAAACGCTTTCAGCGTGAAATTCAAACTATGACCCCCGAAGTGGTAATATTACACTGGGTCTATTTACACCGATCTACTCGGTGTGAAGTACCCGGTGTAAATTTGACGGCCGGGTATCATTCTGTGTAAAACTTCTCGGTGCAAAATTAAATATTGCCCCGGGTACGAGATTTTTGCACTGACATATTTTACACCGCCTCTCTCTGTGTAAAAAGGTCAGTGCAAAATTAAAAGTCACGTCCGGGTCCAAGACTTTTGCACTGACTTCTTTACACAGATACTTTTTACACGGAATGTAAAAAAATCAAATATGTGTAAAATTATAATTGACCCCGAATCATTTCGAATTTTACACAGTCAGGGTTTTACACAGACTCAGTCGGTGTAAACCGCCCTGTGTAAAAATCTCCTACCCCATATAAAATCACTTCTTGAATATCAATTTACTTTTGCTAGTGACGTGCTTTGTGGGAAATTGAAATTGACCTTGAAAACCGAAATGTTGATAACCGGAAAATCAATTGGGTGATAGATATCAAAGCTTTATACCATTTGAAAAAATGATTGAAAAGTCTTGTAGCCCGTTAGGAGTCTCACTAAATATACTGAGAGTCTTAACAGACTGGATAGAATACAAAAAAAGGATCAGTAGAGTTTATAACAAAATGGATCAGTAGAGATTGTGTGTTGTGGGAGCCAGATATGCAATCTTCAAGTGTAGATATGGAGGTGATGAAGGTGAGCTACGGTGAAGTTGAATAGAGATAAAATGTGCACCTATTATAGGAGATTTCATGACTATAAGTTTGACCTCAAGTGTCCAATCCTTCCATGCTGTTGTGCATGTTTTATGTCAAAGCGGGAGGCAAACATGGTAATTTGAGTCTTTGAACATGAATATAAGAGTGAAGAAGTGGTTGTATAAAAAAGTTGCATTATGAAGGTAGGTCTGAAATTTGATTTTGTCATCTGGGGGGGCTCTAGACTCAGTTATTTACATGTTTTGAGGGTTTTTGTGGGTGTTTCATGGCAGAGCGGGAGCTGAACATGGCATTGTGAGTTTTTGAGTGTAAATATGAGGTTGATGGAGTGGAAATATGAAAAAGTGGTATTATCAGACTGGGTCTAAAATCCAATTTGGTCATATGCGGGAGGAGCAAACACCATTTTCCCCACTTCTTCAGGATGTTCAGAAAGTTTTTGTGTGCAAAAACATGTTGAAAGATAGCTTTACAAATGTTTGAGCATGAATATAAGAGTGAAGCAGTGGTTGTATGAAAAAGTTGCATTATAAAAGTAGGTTTGAAATTGGAATTTGTCATCTGGGGGGGCCCCAAACACCATATTCGCTAGTGGGAGGAAACATTGAGCCGCCATTTATTTTTTT